CAGATCTTAGCCTTTCACAATAATTATTTTCACATTCCTTATCTGAGACTAGTACATCTGGGACATTTCATGAGCCCAAGATATCCCATATGCTATACTTTCTGGAACAAAAAATGCACATGACCCTCCTTAAATGCCTAATCTCAAGACAATGAATTTGTCTACATGTGGCTATGCAGATCTGTCAGTTGCCTGAGAGACCTACAAGAAAAATCCAGTACTATGGGACATCCTGTGGATTTATGATACTCTCTGTGTGGGGATTTTGTATCCATTCACTAGTGAATGAATTATGCTTATTCCTACACCAGTATGGAATTGTATTGCCCTAGGCAAAGCTACCATGATGATAAGCAGTGTATAAAGGCTGGTAGGCTATTAATCTTTGTCAGACATGACATGAGGCTAAATCCTGCAGTCTTTTCCATTCTTCTTTCAGGGCCCAGTGCTGAAAGGTGCTGAGCATCCACTGTGAGATATGAAGTGCCACAAATTCCCATTGAGAGTAAATGGGAGTGGGGAGCACTTACCTCTATTCCTCCTGCGTGCTGGTATTTTTTGAATCCGGACCATTGTAGGATTTAGCCTTTGGATGGTGATCTTGTACTGTTGAATGATTACTTATACAACAGAAGAAAAAAGCTCAGGATGAGGTTTGTTTTTTAAATAAACCAGAATATTCCTCTGTTTCAGAACATAATATTTAGGAGAACATTGATGAATGGAAATTACATAATGTGTGAAAAGGGACTGCAGTGTTTTCTTATGTTCATGGTAGCGTGCCTCTCAGGGAATTGAAAGAGTTCTCACTCCACTCCTTGAGTGGCATAGCCTGAGGCCGTGACCTGTCATAGTCCACAGGCCAGCTTGTGAGAGTCTGACTTCACTGAAAGGTGTGTCATATGTCATGAAATGCTGCAGCCCTAGCTGCTAATCGTTGTTGTACTTATTGGTCAGGTATAGCATTGCTGGGCTAGGTGTAAATTAGGAATGCAACCATCGCAAATAGAATATGAGAAATGGAGGGAAAATATTACTAATACCTTGTATTTCCTGTTTGTTCATATCTTGAATTAGCTCCCCGGACTCTGCGGATTCAGCTGAAGATAATGTATTTCTCATATTATTCCAATCAGTTGTTTGTCATTGTTATAATTATTACTATTAGTTTATAGTAGCACCCACAATTTGCTAAGGACTTCTCAGACATTCTAATAGGGGTGGTCCCTGCTCCAAGGAGCTCACAGTCAAAGGCTAGAGGCAGACTGGCAGGCAGAAGTTAGGGGAATGGGAAAGAAAACAACGAATAGTGATGTCTTTAAATTCAAGTCAGTTAGATGCACTGTAAACAGCTTGGCAAAAGTGGGACTTTAAGGGGGAAAGAGGAACAAGGTAGAAGGCTTGCCAATGGTCTCATGGAGGTTGCATAGGGGCTTCATGGAAAAAGGCACTGAGGTGGTTGTGTGAGAAGCTGACAGATGAGCAAACAAGTGGGATAGGGGTGAGGGCAGGACAGATTGACAAGCTTGAATAAATATGGAGATGCAGAATTCTAGGATGCCAAAGTGGGTGGGGAGCCAGTGAGGGGAGTGACATCATCAAATCAGTAGGGAATGAAGATGCATTCTGTCTGGTGTGACCAGAGGCGGCTCCAGGCACCAGCACACCAAGCGCGTGCCTGGGGCGGCCTGCTGGTCGCCATGAGGATGGTAGTCAGGCTGCCTTCGGCGGCATGCCTGCAAAAGGTCCGTCGGTCCCGTGGTTTCAGCGGCAATTCGGCGGCAGGTACGCTGAAGCCGCAGGACCGGGGACCTCCCGCAGGCATGCTGCCGAAGGCAGCCTGCCTACCGTGCTTGGGGCGGCAAAATATATAGAGCCACCCCTGGGTGTGATGAGGGCCTGACCGAGCAACATCGCTGTGGAAATCACTATAAAAGGACAGATGTTGTAGTTGGTGAGGAGGAGAAAATACCAGGAGAAGGCGGCAGGGCTGCACTGTACTTGCAGTGTGTTCAAAGAGTGCAGTGTCACCTGTGACATTTCTAATACTTGGGGTTTTTCATGTTTTTTTTAAGGGTGCCCTTGTGGTTAAAGTTTGCACCACTGCCAAGACTTAGTGCCATATACTCCCTTCGAGCTGCAGTGCCCACAAAGGACTTCCACTGATTCGAGTGGGAATTCTGTCTAGTCCTGAGAGTAGAATAATGATACTTAATGTCCCTTTTGTCTACCCAGCGTATCCTAGATTCTGTGAAGTGTCACAACACTGATTTCATAAAAACAAAAACTACAAATATTTTATCAATATTGTGTAAAGGCTGATATATCTAACAAAGATTAATAGCCTAACAAACGGTTAACTCCAGCCGCGTTTTCCCATTCTTTTTTCAGGGCCCCATGCTGAAAGGTGCTGAGCATCTACTGTGAGATATTAAGTGCCATCAGCTCCCATGGGAAATAAATGTACTTAACTTTGTGTCTTTGTTTAGGGTAACCCTGGATTGGACAATGACATAAAAGGGTCCATAGGTTCAAAAGGAGAACAGGGAAGACAGGTAACTATTTAGAAATGTGACTTTGCTTACTGTACATTGTTTCAAATACTAACCTACAATCCTTTAAAATATAGCTATATAGAGCAAATTAAAATTAATCAATTGATAACCATGGCTGTTAAAAATAGTATGACAATTCTATCGTTCCTAATTTTATACCACACAATACATCTGAAATCAACAAGATGACAATCAATAAAGACAAGTGCAAAGTACCACACTTAGGAAGGAGAAGTCAAATGCACCACTATAAAATAGGGAATAACTGGCTAGGTAGTAGTACTGCTGAAAAGGTTCTGGGGTTATAGTGGATCACAAATTGAACATGAATCAATAATGTGATGCAGCTGCAAAAAAAGGCTAATATTCTGGGATGTATTTACAGGAGAGTTGTATGTAAGACACCGGAGGTAATTGTTCCTTTCTACTCAGCCTTGGTGAGGCCTCAACTCAAGTACTGTGTTCAGTTCTAGGTAGAAAGATATGGATGAATTGGAGGGAGTCCAGATGAGAGCAACAAAAATGATGAAAGGTTCCAAAAACCTGACCTACAAGGAAAGGTTAAACAACCTAGACATACTTAGTCTTGAGAAAAGAAGACTGAGGGAGGGACCTGATAAGGCTTCAAATATGTTAAGGGCTGTTGTAAACAGGATGACCATCAGTTGTTCTCCAGGTCCGCTGAATGTAGGACACGCAATAATGGGCTTAATCTGTAGCAAGGGAGGTTTAGGTCGGATAGCAGGAAAAACTTTCCAACTGTAAAGGCAGCTAAGCTCTGGCCTAGGCTTCCAAGTGAGGTTGTGGAATCCACATCACTGGAGGTTACTTGTCATGGATGGTCTAGGTTTACTTTGTCCTGCCTCAGCACAGGGGGCTGGATTTGATGATCTCCTGAAGTCCCTTCCAGTCCTACATTTCTATGGTTCTCTGATTCTAGCCTTATGGGTGATTTGCGATCCATGAATCTGCACTCTGCGGTCCAGCTTTGGAAGTGGACTTACATTTTTTAAAGAGATGAAAAATAACTAAGGTGTAGATATATGATGAATAATCATACCTACTGTCATCTGTGGCATACCTATTATTATTATTGTTATTGTTGTTGTTTGTTTTTAAAACCTTTCTTGTAGTAAATTAATGAACTTCCACAGAAAATCTTCCAAAGTGTGTGTGCAGGGAAAGTACTTAGAGCTATTTATGGGCCCAACACTACACAGTGTCCAGCAGCCCCCAGAAGGTGCCAAGCCCCCCTGAACTTCGATTGATTTCACTGTAGAGCAGTTATGGAGCACCAGCACAAGACTTGGATTATCTGCACAGTCTGCTGGAGATCAATGTTGATACACAAAACAGAATGGTAACTGTAATGACAAACATGCAGCACCTTCCAGACAAATATAATTTGAGGGCAACATCAGTGATCATTTTGATGGCACTACTTTATGAAATGTACCGTAACACAATGGCATTCCTTTGACAATGTTGCATAGATGAAGTCGTGCAATTAAAATACTATGTTTCTGTTCTTAATTCTGACAGGGGTAAGCAGTTGCAGATGTTGTGTGCCCAAGTGTTATGAAAAGAATTTTTTCTCATTGGCTTGCATGTCCATTGTTCATGACTAGATGGCTTAATAATCTGGAAAAATATAAAACGTTTGGAATTTGAGTGACAATTGAGATATAACATGAAATTAAATTTCTCTTTTCCAGGGTGAAAGAGGACCAATGGGCTCACCAGGGTCACCAGGCTCTCGGAGAACCACAGTAAGAACCCATATAGACAAGGAGACTAAATATGCAAAGGAAATGCTTGTAATTAATCCAAGGTAGAAAGAATGATCTTAGAGTCCATAAATTTAACCTTGATCGATCGCTTCGTCAGCCTCCATTCACTGCAGGAAGATGAGAAATAAATCTGATAGATTGCCCTGAAAAAATTAACACTAGCAATAGCCTCTGATTCCAGGCAAACTCTTTCCTCCTGATTAGGACTATCCAACACAACTGACTGACTATCAGAGACAAAATAGCTTCCTCATTTATTTCAAGTTTGGAACCTACTGCAATACTGCCCAGTTTCTGTCCCCCAACACTTGCTGATGACTTTGCTTCTCTGCTTCTTTTTTCTCCTTCCAAAGAAAGAGAAATTCTGCAAAGATAAGGATTTTCATTAACATACTCTTTCTTCTGGTGTGGCAGTGTAGCAGGGTCACCAGGCTCCTGCCTCTGTCCCAGTCTACAAACTACTCAGAGATCCTTGTGCTGGTCCAACACCTTGTGCAGTTTATTTACAAATGGATTCCCACCATCTTTAATACATACAGCTCTTGTAACAAGCAGGGGAGCGCAATCTCTCTCTCTGCCTGCTTCCCCCTTTCCACTTCCTTTCTGTACCTATCTGTGGGCTCTGCCTAAGGGCTTAATTAGCCTTTCTGCCCTTCCCCACCCACAAATTAGGCACAGCTCTGCTTAATCAGCTCCATTCTGCCTTGCTTGATTGGAGCTGCTGTGAACAGAGTGCTGACTCGTCCTTTCTTGCCTAGCACTCTGTCATAGGCAGTTACCAATAAGAACAGACTAAAGAGGTGGGAACCTTTCTCTCTGCTTGGTGGGAAATGTCTTTAAGCTCTACTGCCAAAACCAATGTTATAAACACATCTGTTTTGCTAGGGCGGACAGGGCATGAATGTTTTAGTCCTTCTCTTGGCACAGCAGGACTGAAGCATGTGAGCAGTAAGCAAAAGTGATAGCAAAGTAATATCCTGACACATCCATAACAACTTTCGCATTTGCTTTGCTCTCAATCACTGTTCTAGCATGTACAGTAACTTGAGCACGTAGTAAAGCATTGTGTGAAAATCAAATTATCTGGAAAAAAAATTGACATAGTTGCCACAGCTTCTCTACTGTTTGTCATTTAATTGAGAGAGATAACTGGGGTCTAACAGATGTCTAACAAACATCTATCTTGTCTTGTGTCAGGGAACAAAAGGTCGAAGAGGAACACCAGGTCCACAGGTAGGTTTCCTTAATTTCCCATATCTACAGTAGGACTAACGTGGGAGCTTTCCTGCCTTCTAAAATATTTGCAGAGAGAGTCCAATATTTATTTTAAATTTGTTATAGCATATAAGATAAAGGACAAATCCTGCTTGCCTTACTCATGCAATTAATTTCAGTGAGTTCAGTGGAACTACTTGTGGGTCCTAGTTCAGCAATGCATGTGCTGCATAAGTCCCATTGAAGAACTAGTCCCATTCATGGGAACCCATGCTGAAAGCCCATGCTGTTGCCTCAGTGTAATCCATAAAGTCGTGTGTGTGGTTTTTCTTTGTTTGTTTTTTTTTGTGTTTTTTTAAAAAAAGGTCCAAAATGGTTGGGAACGTCAAAATTGAATGGTAACAGACTGCCAATCCCAGTGAGGATTGAACCTGGTGCTAGTATAAACAAAAGGAGCTTTCAGCCATGCCTGTAGTTGTTTTCATCTCTTCACACTGAGTGTACAGACATTCTAGGCTTCAGAGTGACACACAAGAGTGACAGTCGTGGAATGTCATTGTACTGAGTAAGCCTGTGCTGAGATATTTTGCTGAATAGACTTGGACTATTGAATCTGGGCTTGCAAGTATGAGGTGAGCAGGATCGAGCCCTCATACTATAACGAGCACCATAAAAATCCAAATTGTACAAAATATGGCACTGTAGAGCATTAATAGTGAAAGATCATGGATACATAATATTTTATTTGAAGGACATTGTCAAGTCAAACTTGAATCTAAATGAGATCTTGTGACAAGAAGTTTTTACAAAACCTGAGAGCAATAAAAGTTTCCATAACTTTCCATCGCAACAAAAATAATAATTTCCCTGCAGAGTTTTCAGTTCAAAAGCACTGAGACACTAAAAGTGAAACTGAGATTTTTGTTGTCAAAGGCAGAGAAATGCAAAACTGAAAATAAACCAGAATAAATATTTTCAGTTTTAATCATCTGAGATATTAGAAGTGTGTTTGTTTCAAGAAGATTCCTTTAGAAAATACTTTTTGCTCTTTAAACAAAGATCAAGACACATTATGTTGCACAGTACCTAGTACTGGATTGCATTGTATAGGCACTGCCCCATGTTAGGAGCAGTATGGGATAGAATCCAGAAGACATGCACATTCTGCTTGCCTCTTTGAGGTCTATAGATGTGGTAGCCTCACCGAGTCCTGGGCTGAGGTGAGTGCAGAGTTGTAATTGTGATGTGCCCCTAAAGAGGGGTAAAATGTGGGCAGGAGGCTCCTTGCACTCTCCCTCAGTTATGCACAATTGTATGGCAAGGTATTGTCCAACTGCTAAACTGAAAAACCATGTCTCAAAAACCAAGTTTCAGGCATTTTGTCTTATAACAGCTGCCTTGGTTATAAGCTCAGCCTGCTTTGTGGCAATAAATAAGCTTCACTTAATTTCTGGATTTTAAAAACAATTTTTTAAATCCATGCGTTGCAACGACCAACTTTATTAAAAATATGGTAGGATATGCTGATAGTCTGTGAAGACACTATGCTAAAAAATGTAATTTGATCTAAATGCTGACTCTTTAGAGAACTGTCACTTAATGAAAAGAAAAAAGGTGTTCAAATGCCAAATAAATGGTATTAGAAATTGAAAATATCATACTGTTCTCCTGGCAGATCAGTCACTGTTATGATCACTTGAGAAAATTGTTACAAGATTCTGTCTCTTAATACAGGGGGAGAAAGGAGCTCCTGGTTTGACGGGCTTTCCAGGAGAACCAGGATTTCCAGGATCCCAGGTGAATATTAACATTCATCTAGGTCAGGGGTTCTCAAACTTCATTGCACCATGACCCCCTTCTGACAACAAAAATTACTACACGACCCTAGGAGGGGGGATTGAAGCCTGAGCCCACATGAGCCCCGCTGCCCTAGGTGTGGGGGCCAATGCCAAAGCCTGGTGGGGGCAAAACTGAAGCCCTTGGGCTTCTGCCCTAGGCGGGGGGCCTGTAACCTGAGCCCTGCCACCCAGGGCTGAAGCCCTTGAGCTTTGGCTTTGACCCCGGGTGGTGGGCTTTGGCCCTGGGCGATGGGGCTTTGGCTCCAGGCCCCAGCAAGTCTAATGCCAGCCCTGGCGACCCCCACAGTTTGAGAACCGCTGATCTAGGTATCTTCAAGAAGAAGGACTTGAAATACAAAGGAGAAATGAAATAGTCTATGTCCAAAAATCATATGGCCCAGTGTCCATACTCCTACAAAGCTTAGTCCTGCCTTGAGTGCAGGGGACTGGACTAAATAATCTCTCGAGGTCCCTACCAGTTCTATGATTCTATAAAGCACAGCCAACATGTGAGTGAATATATTGTTGGTGGCTGTGAAGCACTGGCAGCATTGGCTTGAGTTGGGCATAGCATAGTAAGGCAGACACAGTGCAAACTTCCCCACACAGCTCTGCCTTTCGTGGCTTGCAACACCTCTGATGTTCCAGTCCTGCCCTTCTGTTGAGCAAATACTGCCCAAGTATGCCTCCTATCTAGATCTGGACTTCTGACCACAGTTTTCTGTGGCCCAGATTGGAAGCCTCTTCCTC